TACTGCCATACTACATCAGACTACATCAGACAAATTAAATAGAAAGAAGAGACACACAGGGAGCTTCCTAATGACGGAGAGTGTAATATTGATTGGAAGTAGATTGGGAATGGTTGGGAATAAAATTCACGTCTGGGAAATGTTCTGTCTCATCAGTATAGTATACAGTATAGTGTACAGTATAATTGTAGGCTTATCATAAAACAGAAATCATAAAGGATTTATTCCCAAAATGCCTAAATTCTAGGTGCTTGTTCCACAAAATGGAAGCACATACTCTATTATTTAGGCTTAAATATTTCAGAGAAATTGAGAGTCTTATAAATGGATCCAAAACAATTATATCACTAAGACAGTTAGATATTGCACTCTAAGGAGGATTCTTTTCATCTAACTTTTGATAGTATAACAAAAATGAGGCTTTTTAAAAATAGGCATAGTAGAGAAATAAACATGAGCAAATGTTTTTTTACCCAATGTATTTTAAAAATCTACCTTGCAATAGGATGAACTACCTTCTGGAAGTCCTGTTCTTTCCCTGATGAAGAGATATCGGAGACATTGCTTCATCTCTGACTGATGAAGCAATTCTAGTGAATTCGTTCATTCTGACAGTAGATTGGTGAGCAATCCCCCTGTCCTTATCACAGCCCTTAAGCCCTTTTTCATCATATTTTCTTCCCCTCTTTCTTTGAGGATGGGGAGTGAGATAATAGTTGTGGTAGAGTTTAGTTGCCCAGTAAGATGAAACAACCACAAGTCCATATCTTCTTCTGGTTAGTAAATGCTGTTAAGTTTTTTATTTGAGCAATATAGAATATATGCACTTCCTGTATAAACAAAAAACTTGAATTTGTTCATTTTCACATGCTGTTGGACCACTTGTTTGCTCTCTAACACAATTTAGTTTAAATCCTTTTTTTGTGGAGTAACACACTTTTATATGTCTGGTGGGAATGGGAAGAAATTGATTCTGGCTCTGGGTTTTCTTTGGTGAGTAAAGTGCTGTAGATATAAAGTAAATGTAATGACAGTACCATAATTGCCCTACTTATATAGAAAGCAGTAGTTCTACCTCCAGTTCTCAAAAGCTCCATGCTAAGTATGCTCTGAAAAATGTATGAGGGAAAGATCCACAAGAACTCAGAAATGTTGGGGTCCTGACTGTGTGTTGGAATGTTGTTATTTTAAGTTGTATAGACAAAGGGGCCTGGTGCTGAATATTAATCCAAAATAAAGATAAATCTTGCTCATTTTAGGTGTTAGCTGACTAAGAGCTTTTAGTATCTTAAGCTACATTAATTTAATTGAATAGTTCATTTAACAATAAACAATATTTTTTTTCCTTAGAAATAGGAATTTAACTTCTTGAACCCAGCACAATAAAGGCTTTATTTAAGCATATGAATGATGAGGATATCAAGAGAACATTAGTATGAGACAATTGCTGGAGTTAAAAAGATGGGTTGGTGTCTTACTTGCTTAGTGTCTTACTTGCTTTCCTTTAGTGCCCCCTAATCTTAGTGTCCTATTGATACTTTCTCTGAACTCTTGATAAGCTCCCTTAAACTTTCCTTCTTTTACTGTTTTTCTGAGAAGCTCCATGCAATTTGTCATCAGGCAATGAACTCCAATTGATACCCCTTTATTGCACTGTTTATGCATCATGCTGCAAGCCAGTACCTTCAATGGCCAATAGCTTCGATGTGTGTGGAATTTTGTTTTTGTTTAGATGGTGTCTGTATCCAAATAAAATTCTGCTTGCCTATGGTCTTTCCCTGCTGGAACTGCCCTAAACTTTCACACCTGTAGAAGCAGTATTTTCCCTTTTAACCTTGACCTATATCTTAACTGCATAAGATTTAAGTGAGTGGTTCTTGTAATATCCACATTAATTTTCAAATAATGCAGTCTGGAACTGTTTATAAGTCCTTAAACACAGAGAGCTATGCAGGAATATCGGATGTGACAAGACATCTATGAGTCTTGACCTTAATTCTTATGCTCTAATATCTAGGGAATTCTGAATAAAATTCTGTGAGACTGAAAACATAAGAGGAGTTTGTCATTGACATGCACAATGTAAGAAGGTAGCAAAAAGCTCTTTAAAGTCAAATTAATTAAAATATAGCACTTGCAATAGTAGAAACCATTTCTGGCATATCTTTTCATTGTCCCCCCTTACCCCTACTCCTCCTCCCCCCCCCCCCCCCACAGCCAGGCTTGCAGTTTTTCATCATAATTTCCACATATGAAGACCTTCCATCTGAAAAGCTGCCTCAGCTGCCTCACACTTTTTTTTTTCTTGACCAACCTCACCTTCTGATTTTACTATAAACATTTCCTGATCTCTTTTTATCTTATAATAAGTGTCACTGTTTTGCAAATTATGGTGAACATGGGTAAAAAAGACCCTTTGTGGGTAACAATAATCTTGTCAGACTTTAAATACCAAAGGCAAAGAGTAAGTGATTCTTAGAATAACCTGACTTGCATTATAACCTTATTAGTTATAATCTTTAAATATAAATTGTTTGCTGAAATTAAATGATACTCATATGACCCTGGAGTGAAACTACTCTCCTGAACTTGCAGCTAGTGTATCAGTTGGTCCTTTTCGTGTTTTATTTCATATATTTATTCAAAATGTTATTCTCTTGCCACTCTGAAGTGGAATGAAGTGGTATGAAGATTCTGACCTTGGAACATGGGAAAATAAAATAGTCTGAGTGTCCTGATGTACATTTCCAAGTATGTACACCTGCTGGTAAAGCACTTGAGAGACACTGTTGTTAAACTAAGTATGATAAAAATAATAATAACAAAAAAATGTTTGCCATTAGAAGAACCCTTTAGAAAGCCATGTTCCAAAGCCCATCTGAAGCTATCTTGGGATGATATTGATTTTAGAGATACTAATATATTTCCATATGCTCTCTGCCTAAAATAATAATAAAAAATGTAATACTTGAATAACTACAGGATTTGCATATAAAATTCTGTATAAATAAAGGTATATGGCCATCTAGCTCATTCTGGTTTTATCAGATCTACATAAAGAATAATATTTGAAGAAGTATAGCCTGCGTTTAAGTTTAACAGCTGTGAGATTTTGCATTCACTCTTTCTTCATGTTTGCAAGAGCTATGCTCTTTGTAAGCCTTGCCTTTTATGCCACTTCATAAAACTGATGTTTCCCATTAAAGATTCAAACTCTCTTCAGGCCTGTAACCTTAATGACACAGAGATCTTTACAATGAGAATTCTAAAAATGACAGAACATATTTTGATTCATATTTCTCTCATTTCTCTTGTTGTATGGGAATATATAAAAGGTAAAGCTACTGGCTATAATTTCCCTAGATATTAATAAAGTTTTTAAAAAGTCTATGTTGTGTGAAATAATTTGCTTTTAAAACAGCTTTATGCTATTACTTGTCCTTGGATTTGGACAAATTTGAATGTTCTGGGAGGAAATAATAATGTATTCTATAAGTAATAATAAAATACTTGCTAATAAAGTAAGACAATATGCAATGATACAGATTCAAGCCTAAAGTTTGTGATCTTCATGAACTAAGACAAAAACCTAATAAAGCCACATAAACATAATGGTGGTCAGTTCTGGTCCTCTCATGGGCTTACTAGCTTCCATCCCAACCAGGATGCTAAGAAGGGAAGAGAAGACAATGAAGTGCGCACTATTTACAGGTGAAACCTGTAAATCCATAAATATCATAATACAAATAATTTAATTTTTGCCACCAGTATATCACTGATATATATATATATTTACACATTTATTTATTTACTCTAGGTAGACCAGAATGTTCTGAAGATTTGATCACTCAAAATAAATGATGTGTCTTTTCTAAAATCCACAACTTAAAGTAGGACACCTTCCTGAAAATATTCTGGAAAATACCTTCCATAGTAATTTCTCTGTGAAATGTGCAATACTATATGAGCTAAAGCATATCTTTCAATAAAAGCAAATATTGATATAAATATAGGGAGTGATAGAGAATCCATTTTTCAATGCCATAATTTTAAAACCTTTTCATTACAATAATTATAAAGCCTACTGAAAACAACTTAGCCTGGAATACGCTTTATCAAGTTAAATTTCAGGGGATTTCACTGAGATCAAAGTAATGGATGATTAATACCAAACTTATATGTGATTCATTTTTTGCTACTCTTTAACGGAACTTAAAATGCAATTCAGCTGAACTCCACTTTGAAATCCCCAGGAATTCCTTTGTCAGAATTCCAGGCTAATTTGCTAGTTGCTAGTGTCAAAATTCAGTGGCACTGCAGCACAACCAGGCTTATTTAACACAGAATATAAACTGACCTGAACAGCAGTACCTAAAACTGCTACATGTACAGATGCACATTATTTTTGTACTTAAATCTGAAAACAATCAGAATATATATTTTTGCTGAAAATCAACGTGTCTAAGGTTAAAAGCAACCTCTTCTGCAGGACCACAAACTTAAGCTATTCCCTTAGGTTATGGAGTGTTTTCATACAAAGATGTCTTTTATGAATGTGTGTGTGTATATATATCACAGAATCACAGAATTGTCTAGATTGGAAGAGACCTCAATATCATCGAGTCCAACCTCTGACCTAAAATACATGTGTGTGTGTGTGTGTGTGTGGCATATATACTTTATATACTTTATTATCCCTTATTTTACTGCACCCTGATGCAACTGCATTTTTTTGAGCACACATAATTTTTTGATAATACACACGATACTTTTTCAGTAAAATATTGATTCTTCTATTTAACCCTTGTCCCCAAACACTGTGGAAAAAAGAATATATATATATATTCTTCACCTTCTGTTGCTCTTCTTGAATCAGTTCTGTGCCCTAAAAGCCTGGTTCTTCTGCTTTGATAAATAATTAATCTGGATGAGTTATTCATTTTTTTAAAATAAATACCAGGTGAAAAGTTCTGGCAAGAAATAACTTGTAATCTGCCCCACAGCAAAGGGAAAGTTTTCTGCACATGTACAGTATGGTTACAAAGCCTGGATTTTCCAGTCAATATATGAAAGTTGAAAATTCATTTTAAGCTAATGCAATGCAAAGTGGTCTCACTAGGAAGTTCAGTTTTCACTCATCTAGATTTGCAATCTCATTTACTTGCACAGGCTCACTAATTTGATTGTAATCATGTTACTTATCTTTTAATTTTGTGTGTGGCAGATGTACATCAGAAATGACATGCAGGTGGGAATATCATATATTAAATCAATTTAATCACATTTAAATATTTCAAGGTTTGAAAAAAAAGAAAAAGTCATAGTTAGATAACAATTTCTAAGCCAAGTGAAAATGCTTTAACATGATAATTGACCTTAAAATAATACAATTATGCCTGCAATTTAGAAGACGCAGCCAGCTGTTAGCTTATTTTAAGAGTGACAGAAGAATTTTAACGTTTGCTGAAGCAAGAATACATTTTTCCCCTATTCAAGAGGAAATTATAAGTCTTAATAAATGTATATGAATAATTTGTTTGTTTGTTTTCACCTTGAAAGAGTTATTATTATGTGCTCTCAGACACACATGCACATTATATCTTGTTTGGTTAAAGTCCAAGAAAACGTGCAATGGAAACCATTTAAGATCAGTGCCTGATTTCAGGTGTACCTTAATTTTCTATAGCAGCATCATTTGCAGTAATAACAATTCTGAAGACAAGGGGTCTTCCAGAGACAGTAAGACTGGGAGCACTTCAGGTGATACCATCCTTATCTTGTTTGTCAGTCCCTTCATTACTATCAATCTCTGTGACATTTTTTGGAAGCACCTTATTACTGCTACTAAAATTTCTCATGTCTGGGCCTACTTCTGCAAAAGCAGGTCCAACAAATTACGTGGTTTAGTTGTTTAGTTAAGAACATTCTGTGCAAGAAATATTTTACTAAAAGTAGATAGGTAATAAAATCATTTTATGTAGAAAAAGAAATGACGTCCTCCCCCAAAAATTAATAAATGCATTTAAAAAAGCATATGTAATCCTTATGCAGATAAGTCAATTTCAACTTATCTAAATCTCAAAGACTTTATATGCCACTTACTACATATATTAGGGAGTTGCCAAATATGACACCAAGAGGCAAGGCTGCCACAGCTGCATGCCCCTAGGTTCAACCAGGAGCATGTATTCCCAATAGACACACCCATAAACACACACATACAATATACATTCACATGCATACACAGCAAGCCACACTGTATGCATGTGCATACAGTCACATGTAGTACTTGCAAAAATACAAACAGTACAAACAGCCTCATCCTGTTCCCTTGTGTCGCTGATCAGGATGAAGATCCAATAGTGAGAATACATACATGTTCACATGGATCCCTCCAGCAGCTGGACTCTAACAGCCTTCACAATAGCTGCTCCTGGATCCCAGTCTTCTCAGTTGCTCACACCTGGGTATGTCACCTCCAAAGCCACAACTCCACTCCAACTGCCTGTGTTGAGACTTACATGTACAGTAAGCAGTAATGCAGTAAGCAGCACTATAGGCTTTCCTCCATTGTCTTCCATGTAGATATGCATGCACACAAATGGGTCTCCCAACCAACTTCTACAGTCCACAGTCTCTCCAGCAGCTGGCCAGGACTCCCCTGGTCTCTCCAGTAACCGGCTCCTTCAGTTGCCTCAACCACAGACACACACGTATGAATATCTGGTGCCAAGGGAGTTAAGCTACTCCCTGGCTAGGCTGACTTGATACTTGCTCAAGCAGTGACTTGTGTACACTCATTCACTACCATTGCTGGCAACCCAGACACACAGGCTCTCTCTGGCCTGTGGTTTTACTTCAGTCACTGGAATTTAGACCTCTGTATAAATACATTCATACACGAGAGTCCCCTTATACAAGAAAATATTCAGAAGCAGAGTTTTATGGAAAGACAAGGCAGAGTGTGGTGATGGCGTGTGTAAGACATGGCTAGGCATATATACTGACCAGCACTGTTTACAAGCAACAAGACTCTTATCCCCTTCTCCCTCTATTTTCCATGCCTTTTCCTCCCCAAAACACTTAAATCACCCTTTCCTCACCTTTGGTCCTTCCCTAAACATCCCATTGTTTTGTATAATCCCCAAATGTGCTTCCCCTCAGTCTGAGATGCGAACCACAGAGTTGCTCCCCTTGACTCATCTGAGAAGTGTCATAGCTGAACACTGGAACTGACAGTCTCTTGAGATAGCCAAGGGAGGGAAAGGGAAGGACGTGCGTTTCTCCAGCTTGTTTGCGAAGTTTCCGCTGCAAGTTATTGTTCTTTCCTCCTTGCTCTTGCATGTTTGTGGAAATTACCTTTTTTATGGGTTTATCACTCTCCCATGATAGGCCTGGGAACAGCTGGGTCTTCAGTATTATTTGGGCTCCCCCACATGCCATTTTTCCACTGTGCTCCTTTGTGTGTGTCAAGATGAACTTATCATGTAGCTGGACACACATCATTCAGCTGTACCTTGAAATGACAAACTAAGTGTTTTACTCTGGCTGCCTACCACCAAATGAAAATGAATGCCAAAGACATTCATAAGCTCTCAGAATTTCAACAAACAAGCAATTGATTACTGTGCTGTGGGTTGTTTATAATCATTAGGTATGCTTTTCCTATAAAATTTACTTTTCAATTAGTTTATATACAATCAGAGATATTTTACTCACTTTCTTGTAGGAAAGCTGAACAAATCTTGCAATGACAACTGCATGTTTCTCTTCAGCCTTTTTCTATCTCTTCCTTGTCTTAGTACTTGTTATTGATAGGATCAAAGTCCTACAGTAATGGAGAAACATCTTAGGAGAAATGCTACAATAATATGTGCTTTTATCTATATTATGAGAAATTATACTATATTATTATTATATTATTGTATTTATTTATATAATATTTATTATATTATTATTTATTAAAATCTGTACTAATATTAAGGGACATTCACCTGGAAACATGGATATATGAAAATACAGATTCAAGCACAGTTAAGGATTTATATACAGAAGAACTTAGAAAGCAACTTTAATTAACCTAGGTCTACATTATAAACTAAAGCTAGCATAGTTATGTCAAACAGATTGTAGGCAGACATCATGATACTATTGGCATGCAGGTGGAAGACCCCTGTTACAGTTATGCCCTCCAGCTGCTCATTATTACCCTTTTGCCAGCAGAACTGGGAGGGCAGTAACCTCCAGCAGAGTGGTTCCTGTGAGTGATGCCTCATCCACTTCAGACAAAATCACCCAGGTAAGCACAAGCAATTTAAATAGTTCGCTTGAGGCTGCAGGCAGGTACCCTCTTTCACATCTAGCTGTGTTGATGATTGTTCCTAATCCTTTCTGTGTTGGAGTCTGTGCCACTGTCAGAAAGCTCAGCTAAATTTTAGATGACTTGGGACTACTTCTGAGACAAGATAGTTGAGACCTACATACACACTGCTTAAGCTCAATTGCTAACCTGATGGTAGCAATTCTGTGGTGGTCTCTGTTATAAGCAGTCTGGTGTGTGTGTGTGTGATTTTTTTTTCTCTGTATCATCTGAAAATTTGACTGACTTTCTTCTGAATGTGGATTAGAAACAATTTGCCAGAAATACTTCATAAACTGAGCTGTGGAAAGGAGTGAGCTCCAGCTAATGGAAAAGGGATAGATAACTAGGACTGGTATATCAGCAGCAGCAGAGTTGCCTGTTTGTAGCTTTGGGCAGCTAAGAGTGGCAAGAGATTCAATCCTTTACTGACATAGTTTTGCTTACAAGTGAAGAAGAGGCTTTACAGACACCATTATAAGACTGCATTTGTTCTGTTTGAGCCACATGTTAGAAAGGCTTTCTACACTTGTACAAAGCATGGTTTTTCATCCATGTCAGTATCATGCTGCCAGTAAAATATTTGATATTGCATCTGATCCCAAGTTCCAAATATACTACCAAAAGCATATGCCCTACTAAAAGAAAACTGCAGTTAAAGCAATATATAAAAAGCATTTTACTTATATCCTATTAGCTGATATCAAACCTGAGCCTTATCTAATTTAGTGCAATTAAATGTGACGATGTTAGGAAGCATACTGAAAGTTTTTTTGAACCTGTCTATTCAAAACACAAATTCTCTCAGTTTTGTTTATATTAAAGGCCAGCCTTTTCAGAATGTAAGCAATGAAGATTCATCTTGTGATTTTAAACAGCAATAAATAGTTTCATGGATAAGTCTAACCTATATTTTATTGAATATAATAAAACACCTTAGGAAGGGAAAAACATTTTAGTATTTGTGACATAATGAACAAGAAAGATTTTGTCAGGACAGTGTACATTATAAATGTATTACCAATAAATATTGTGTTCATTTTGGAACTGTTAAAACTGCTGCTAGGCAGCATTGTTGCTTTGGTCTGAAGGGATTTAGAAAAACAGATGGTTGCTCAGACCTCTTCCAACCACGTAATAAGGAGGGGATGGGCAGAGTCACAAAGATCAGCTGCAGTGCACACCTGCTAGAAAAGTAGTCCCTTCTGCCAATGTCTTTCAGTCACTGTAGGTCAGTGTGTAATCACAGTACATTTAGTGCATGTGTCAGCAATATAAACAGTCTGTGACTTCAGTCAATGATTCTTTCACTGAAATGAACATCATTAAATAAAATGTACTGAAAACTTATTCAGTACGATTCAGGAAAAAAAATAAGAAAGAAAAAAGTAACAAAACTACATGAGCTTAAGTTAGCTAATAAAGAGGCAACATGATATGAATGGAGTAGGGTGGTCTTTCAGAATGGTCAAGTGACTGTGGTAGGGTTGGGGTTGTTAGCAGACACTTAAGCAGATGACTCCATGGATAGGATGAGCTAAATCAAGCTGGCACTTGTCATTAAACGTGCATTGTAATCACACTGTCATTTTGTTATACGGAAGTACTCTATTTTTTTTGTTGTTTGTTTGTTTGCCCTGCATTAATTCTACTTTTACAGGTGCTCATGATTCCTTTGCAATATACATACAAGGTGAATCAGTTATATGTTGATTAACATTGATGCCTTTCTCCAATAACCCCATGAATAATAAGTGAAGTAATGGAAGTGAATAACTGTCTTTAAATATAAGTTACTGTAAAATCTTCAACCTTGCATGCTGAATAATTTACTGAAATACTTAGTGCCACATACCATTGCTAGCTGCATCTGTAGCAGATTAACGTTTACCTTTTACCTTGATTACAACTGCTTCTTTAGTCTCTCTAATGCTAATCTTAGCTCTTTAATCTATTCAAATCACAGCTCCTAAAATTATCTTCTTCATCTCTCATTTCTTCTTTTACACATCAATGAAAAGTCCAGGTACTGATGCCCTTTTCCACAATGCAATAGATATAGGATCTCTATCTTGAAGACCTTATACAATTTAGACTTAATTTTTTACTTTATCCCTTCTCTGCATTGCTACTGATGGTCTTAATGTTCTGTTCTCTCTCCAAGTTCTACTTCAGGTTTTAATGTTGATTTATTTGTAAGTAGTATACTCCCTGATGCAAATTTTCTCATTTAAAACTTCCTAAGAATAACATTCTTCTATGAAGTTATTAATTACATCAATTAGAGAATGGGAAGAATAAAATCCAATGTGGTAAATCTCTGAGTTACCAATTTCTTAATTTTATCCTTATCCTTCTGATAATATAGTCTTGCCATATTTTGTACAGTAAAAACACATTATCTGTGAGAATTAGTACTAAACATTGATTGTTAATAATTTATAGTACTATACTTGCCCCCATCTGCCTTACTCATGGAATACTTTAATAAAGCCCCTATTTAGCAAAATGTTTTTCTGACTTGATATGAAAGAGAAACTTATAACCCCCAAATAGATACCTCAGGTTAGATCCCTAAACTCTTATTTGGCTGTGTATACTATTGGCCTGCATTTTTTATACCATCTAGGTGTTTAGAGTCCTTCACCAAAGCTGATAGATGAGCTTTCCAAATGGCAAGCCAAAACAATTCCACTACTTTCTGAAACTATTTTTTCTGTATTACGTACATGAGGTAGCATTAATTGGCTTACTTATCTGTTAACCCTCTTTGCAGCCCTCAGTACAAAACGTCTTTTGGAACATATTTCAATATTCATTAATTCTGACAATTTATCATCGCTACCTCATAGTTACTGTGTCAGTGACAACAAGTGTCACAGAGAACTTCTAAATGATGTCCCCTGGGATGACATTCCACGGCATATTCAACCTTGCTGGTAAGGTCAATGACACAGATTTGCTTTCAACAATGTAATCCAGGGCAAGAGTGACAGCCAGACTATGCAGCATGACAGAAGCAAGAAAGGTTTGAAAAGGCTTTTCGTTTGTAAATGACAGAAACAAGTCTTACTGGGAATTCCAAATTTAGCCAAGCTCGGAGCATCTTTAAACAGAATAGATCTCTACTTCTCGAACTTGTTTGGGATGTAAAAGTTGAGATACTAGTATTTTGGCTCTGTCATTCCCAATATATACTGCCTTCTCAGTGATTCTGGCATCAATCTATGTATTTTCCCTCTGCTTGGAAAGGGGGAGCAGAGGGAAACATCACTTCCATTGATAACCTTTCCAGTACTTTTTCCCCCACACTCCGTTTTTAGTAACCACAGATACATTTTTAAGCTCCATTCGATATTACAATTGTGATGTCTTCTTTAGATGTAAACTTTCTGGAGCAGCATACTCAAATGCTTATGTATTCAAAGAAAAAAAAAGTTCTTAACTCATTGTAGTGGGTTTACATGGCAAGGCTTTGGTAGCAGGGGGCTACAGGAGTGGCTTCTGGAATCCAGAAGCTGCCCCATGTTAGATAAGGGGCCCTCTGCTAGCCAGAGCTGAGGCAGTAAGTGGAATATGAAGAATTTATTCATATTTAAGAAAGAAAAAAACTGCTTTTCAACAGCAGCAGGGAGAGAGATGGGTGAGAAACAGCTGGGCAGACACCAAGATCAGTGAACATGGAGCACCTCCTGCCCTCCTAGCACTGGAACAGAAGCTCCCCTGCGGCCTGTGGAGAGGCTCCTGATGGAGCAGGTAGATGTAACCTGGAGGAGGTTGTGGTCTGTGGAGAACCCCTGCAAGAGCAGCCTCTGGGCTGGAGCTGCAGCCCATGAAGAGGGAACCACAAAGGAGCAGGTTGATGAGAGCCGTTGCCCATGGGGTACATATATATACGTTGCCTTTATGTGTGCCTATTGAGTAGTCTAACTCTTTGTTAGCTGGACCTGGGAACATGGAAATGTCTCTGTTGTCAACAAGATTTGAGAGCTCCTGACAACTTCTACTTTAATTCCTCTTGTCCTTGCAACTTACTTTTTTCACTGCTGTGGACTAGCAGGTTCTCCTGTTCCGCAGCAATAAAGTTAGCAGTGGCTTTATCTAGTGGAATTCAGACCTATTCAGATACCACCTAGGGGTGAGACAAAAATTCATCTCTTACTATAATTGTTTAGAAGATGGATATCAACAACACTACAGCAGCTCCAGGGCTGGCTTTAAAAACATACTTTTATGCATTTTATGTAAAGCCCCTAGTCTTTCAAAAAAAACTTAATACATATATGTCATCTGTCATATGTTGAGAAAAACATGATTTAAATAAAGAATTTAATTTGAAAAGGAAGTAAATATGTAGACATGGTTATGAATTGTATAAAAACATTGCAGATATCCTCTGATGTTACATGGGCTCTCTTCTAACAGTCACCGAGTAACAAGTCTTAGTAGTTATGTGCTCTTACCACAATAATCTCAGTTATGAAAGCTTTTAAGCAAAACAGTAATGACTACTGTGTAATTAAAAAGAATGCAAGGAAATTGTTCTCTTGACACTGAAACAAATGACTTCCTTGTCATCCTGAATTTAGCAATTAAGTTTTCACCAACTAAAAGGGAAGAGAAATTATAACAAAAGATTTACCTTATCATGTTAAAGAAGTTGAATATCTTGCAGTTCATGCTAAGAAGCATGATTTCATGTCAGTTCATCGTAAGGAAAAACACTTGTTATTGAACATCAATATGTTACTCTATATGTCTTATGTTTTCAAATATAAATGCTATCTAGCCACTGCAATAAAACTAATAGAAAGGGCTAGATGCAGTAGAGTATGTATTCATATCATAATACTTACCTTTAGGCAGTTGTTGCCTTATCTAAAATCCTGTGTCAGGTGTTTGGGCTCCTCAATGTGACA